AAGACGGATATTTTTTTGTGTTGTTGTTGTTGTTGTTGTTGTTGTTGTTGTTGTTGTTGTTGTTGTTGTTGTTGTTGTTGATACAGGCGGGGCAAACCCCCCCGGGGGGGGGAGGGGGGGAGGGGGGGGGGGGGGAACAACACAACACAACACAACGCACCCCTACAGGAGATCCTGTGGAATCCGTACAGGGTTCCATAGGATTCCCACACGACCCTTACAGGGTTCCATAGGACGCCCATAAAACCCCTACAGAGTTCCATCGGACTCCCATTCGACCCCCACAGGGTTCCATCGGAGTCCCATAGAACCCCTACAGGGTTCCATCGGACTATTTCGGCGCACCCCTCACGCGGCTCGTGGCCCTACAGGGGGCGCAGCCGAAGGCTTCGGGACCCTTTCGGCGCACCACTCACACGGTTCGTGGGCCCCCAGGGGGCGCAGCCGAAGGCTTCGGACGCCCTGGCGGTTTTCTGGGGCTGTTTTCGAAGGGTATTGGAGGTCATCTTGGGTCCTTCCAGAGGCCTTGTTGGACCCGTTTGGGGCTCTTTTGGGGCAGTCTTGGGCCAGGTTGGGGCTCTGTTGGGGCCGTCCTGGGCCGTCCATGGGGCCTGATGGGCCGTGCGGAGGACACCCTTGGAATCCGCTGTCCTTGTTGGGAGTTTCCGACACGTGTCGTCGACATTCGTTTTGGTCTTCAGCAGGAGGAGGAGGAGGAGGAGGAGGAGGAGGAGGAGGAGGAGGGGAGGAGGGGGAGGAGGAGGAGGAGGAGGAGGATGTACGTGGAAGAGGAGGAACGTGGGATGAGTAGGACAGACCAGGGGGGAGGGGGAGGACGAGGAATGATACCGAATGTGGAAGACTGGGGTGGAGCCGTCGATCATCGCCGCTGACGTGGTCTGTCGCGCGTGCGCCGCCCCCTGGGGCCACGGGGGGTGGGGCCGAGGAGGGGCAGGACGAGGAAGAGGATAACGAAAACAAGGCTGATGATGACGATTATGCTGATGATGAGGAGGGTGAGGATAAGGAAGAAGAGGAGTTGCATGATTATGAGGATTTGGGCGGACGAGGAGCCGATGAGGATGATGAGGGCCATGATGATCCCTACAGGGATCCTGTAGGGTCCCTGTAGGGATCCATAGTGATCCTCTAGGGCCCCTGTAGGGATCTAGAGGGATCCCATAGGGCCCCTCTATTTACAAAAAGCTATCCCATAGGGTCCCTGTAGAGGTCTAGAGGCATCCTATTGGGTCCCTGTAGAGATCCAGAGGGATCCCTATAGGGTCCTTATAGGGATCTACAGCGATCCCATAATGTCCCTGAAGGGGCCCACAGGGATCACATAGGGTCCCTGTAGGGATTTAGAGGGACCCCATGGGGACCTTGTAGGGAGCCCCAGGGATCCCATAGGGTCCTTATAGGGATCTACAGCGATCACACAAGATCCCTGTAGGGATCCAGAGATCCCATAGGGTCCCTGTATGGGCCCACAGGGATCCCACATGGTCTCTGTAGGGATCCACACGGATCCCATAGGGTCCCTGTAGGGGTCGACAGGGATCCTATACGGTCCGCGTACGGACCCACAGGGATCCCATAGGGTCCTTGTGGGGATCCACAGGGATCCTATCCATAGGGATGCTCTAGGATCCCTATAGGAATCCATAGGGATCCTCTAGGCCCGTTGTAGGGACCCATAGGCATCCTATAGGGCCCCTGTAGGGATCGATAGGGATCCTCTCGTATCCCTGCAGGGATCCATGGGGATCCTCTAGGATGCAGGGATCCATAAGGATCCTCTCGTATCCCTTGTAAGGATCCATAGGGATCCTCTGGGATCCCTGTAGGGGTCCATAGGGATCCTCTAGGATCCCTGTAGGGATCCACAGGGATCCTCCGTAGGATCCCTGTAGGGGCCCACAGGGATCCTCCAGGATCCTTGTAGGGATCCACAGGGATCCTCTAGGATCCCTGTCGGGATCCATAGGAATCTCCAGGATTATGAAGGGATACATACACAAAGATCTCCTCTAGGATTCTGTAGAGGGAGCCATACAGATCCATCTAAAGGCATGATGTAGGGATCCACAGGGATCCTCTAGGATGCTTGTAGGGATCCATACAGATCCTCTAGGATGCTTGTAGGGATCCACAGGGATCCTCTAGGATGCTTGTAGGGATCCACAGGGATCCTCTAGGATGCTTGTAGGGATCCACAGGGATCCTCTAGGATGCTTGTAGGGATCCACAGGGATCCTCTAGGATGCTTGTAGGGATCCACAGGGATCCTCTAGGATGCTTGTAGGGATCCACAGGGATCCTATAGGATGCTTGTTGGGATCCACAGGGATCCTCTAGGATGCTTGTAGGGATCCACAGGGATCCTCTAGGATGCTTGTAGGGATCCACAGGGATCCTTTCAGATCCCTGTAGGGTCCTTGTAGGGATCCAGAG